ATCAATTTTCATTAATTTCTTTATATCAATTTCCATTAATTTCTTTATATCAATTTTCATTAATTTCTTTATATCAATTTTTATTAATTTCATTAAATAAATTTTCATTAATTCATACATCTTTGTATCGTGTCTGGTGGAAATAAACAATATCTCACCATGCAGCTTGACTCCAGGGAGGCCCATGGCAGTCTTCAACGTCTTAGCTGCCTCCTCGATGTTCCCAAGTTTCTTCTGAGCTCTGGCTTTGATCAGGTGGTAGATCGGATGCTCTCTTATCTGCGTGGGACGATGACACATTACTGCAGCGCATTGTTACCGCTAATGTATGCCAGTATTGCGCCCCGCAGCACACGAGATGTCAAAACAATCATTTCTCAAATAAACCGAATAATAAATTTAGACAAATTGGGTCTCGCCTATTAGCGGACTTTTTACTGATTACCCTGGCACAACAATCACCACAAATTCGTGCTGGTATAGGCTATAGCACAGTATATGAACAGCAAAAGTGTGCCCGCCATCTTCAGATTCGTGAGAATGGAATGTTCAAATGGTCCCCAAAAAAAACGGTCACACCTATAGTTACGTGATGCAAATATTTATAGATTGGAACGGTTCAGGGTTGAGAAAAGATGAAAACGGTTGGTAAAAACATGAGAAATACTCGCTTTAAATAAAACATTCACGCGCGGGGGAAGCGTCCGTACTTACGGCAAAGTTGTGACTAAGAGCGACCTCCAGCGACTGATTCGTGAGGCTGTACTCCTCCTTCTGCAGGTAGATCTGCGCCATGAGTAAGTGGGCGTCGGCAAATCTGTTGTCCAGCTCCAGGCAGTGGTTCAGAGAGGCCTGGGCCAAGTCCACGTCACCTGCGAGTGACAATAACTAGAGAAGACTGGGGAGAAAACATTTCCACACTGGGTGGAATACACGACACCAAGCGAAGTAGCCTCTACAACATTGCAGTTTCTCATCTCGCGCACAAATCAACGAATCGACAGCAAACGTCAGTTGATAAATTAGTTTTTTTTATTATTTATATATTACTTATTTTTATTATTTTTTATTTTTATTAGTATTATTTTAGTTATAAATTCGTTCAGGCACAAATTTATAATAAATTACGATTCGTAGCTCACCGATGAGAAATTTGACCTTGGCCATCAGGTACAAGCCCTCCACTAGACCGGGCGCAAGACGCACAACCGGATCCAAGATGGCGCTACATTTCTTCAACACCGGGCTGATCATTGGCTGGCCGCTGGAAGCCGGCTGAAACACAAGACAATGGGTGTGCCCATGATCAGCCGCAGCGGACGGGTCCAGAAACGCACGCGAGTCAAGAATTGCTCTCTCACTGACACCCACGCAAAAACTCGAATCGAGCATAATCGAATCAATGTGAAGGCTGTGACCTCGGCCCGAATCTCAGCAAGGATATAGTACGCGTTTTATGTGATCAAGCCAAGATGTGAAGTTCGAACAAACGCTTGGATGGTGGGCTACGCGCCATCGACACACTCGCGGCGCGTGCCGTGCGAAAACGCTCCAACGGGAGGTAGCGAGCACACACTCTCACAGCGCATTGGCAATGCTCTGACAGTAGGTAGCGAGCGCGCAAACTCTCACGGTGCGCGGCAACTCTCAGCAGCAGGTAGCAAGCGCGCAAACTCTCACGGCGCGTGGCAACGCTCCGCAGCAGGTAGCAAGCGCGCAAACTCTCACTGTGCGCGGCAACGCTCAGCAGCAGGTAGCGAGTGCGCAAACTCTCACTCGGCAAAGCTCCTACGGCGGGCTGCGCACCAGCGAACACTCCAGCCGCGCGTTACCCGCGCGTATACACCAAGACGAGACGAAGACAAAGACGAAGACGAGACGAAGACGAGAGGTGTGTGATCACCTGTCCAGGCGCGAGAGTCAGGTAGTCCTTGACAATGCACATCAGTAGGTCGGGGTTGAGCATGCAGTAGTAGGTGTCGCCTAGTGGCAGGCCGCGCAGCTGCGCGAAGTGCGCCTCAATCGCCTCATTGAAGAGCGGGACGATGACGTCGTGGGGACGCCGCTGCTTGAGCGCCAGCACGGCCCCGAGGTAACTCAGCTCCTAGAGGGAGACACAGTCACTTAGTTAGCGCCTAGAGGGAGACACAGTCACTTAGTTAGCGCCTAGAGGGAGACACAGTCGCTTAGTCCGCCCCTAGAGGGATGTGTGTCTCTCTAACGCATCAGATAACTACATCTCATTATATTACTCATACTCTCTATTACTCACGAATCATACGGGCGTGTCTCGCATCCGTCTCATAATGCGTCCGATAACTACGTCTTCTCATCTATCACACAGTACATAGGTATATAGTACATAGTAGTATAGTACATAGTAGTAGTAGTATAGTATAGTACATAGTAGTATATAGTACATAGGTAAGTCAGTCGAGATTGTCATTCTAGTCGTTATCATCTAACGATGTCCGGAGATGAAAGAATGATGAATGAATGCAGGTGTTTCGACCAACATGCTCACTGCGCCACTGGGAAAATCCAGACCTATAGTAAAAAAAATACACACACGCATTCCTTCCAATCGCGAGTGAGAAGACAACTTACCGCGGATTTACCGATCGTTGCTTGCACCTCTTTCAGAAACTCGAGCTGTTGTTGAGCTTCCTCCACCTGTCCCAGAAGCAACTGCACTCTGATCTGACCTGAATGTTGAACACACGATTAACGAGTTAAACGAATGCCGTACTAGAAATGCCCTGTAGGGCTGAATCCAGATATCTTGCATATAATATTCACATATCCATATACTGCCGTGGGTAGTGTGCTTCGCGTTTATACAGCATTGAACAATGAAGCAGAAGATAGATCAAATCACCACACTCGAGTAAATTAACCTCTATATAAATTTATTATTATATTAGAAGATCGAATTACTTATAATTGCACTCGAGTAAACAAACATAATAAAAATTTCAAATTAAGGTAGGAGATCCGAGAATGAATTGCTTTTAACCACACTCGAGCAAACAACCACGATACGAATTTAACATTAAAGTAGAAGATCACGAATCTTCTTTCAACCACATGCAAATCGATCGCCCGACAAACTCAGAGTTTCGAAAATCGACGCGAGAACAAATCTTGGACGAGCGACGGCTCTGCGCACCGGTTAACGCCTGGACGTTGGTCTCGTCTAGCCGCATGGCGTTGCGGAAGCACTTGAGCGCGTCCTTGTAGCGTTCCTGCAGGAGACACTGGTGACCGAGCTCGGTGACGTAGTCCGCATGTATGTTCTCCAGCTGAGCCGCACGCTCGATGAACGTGTATGTGTGCACCAACAACTGCTCGTCCCTACCCACCTGCAATAAGACAATGTGTCAACCATGTTGGTGTGACAATATAAACGTGTCACCCGCACTGGTGTCACATGAGCGTGTACGTGTGTGCCAGTAGCTGCTCGTCCCTACCCACCTGCAATGTGACAAGTGTCAACCATGTTGGTGTGACAATATAAATGTGTCACCCACACTCGTGACACACGAACATGTACGTGTGTGTTAGCATGTTCCTATCCACCTGCAAAGTGACACCGACTGTGTCAAACATGCCCGGTGTGACAACATATAAGTGTCAACCACACCGGCGTGACAACACACAACATTATCACCCACAAATGTGTGGCAACACTGTAGTGCCACTCACACACGCATGTAATACGTCATACTAGTATTATGTAAAGCAACCTTAGTTATGAACATCAGTGCTTACTATTCGAGCAATCAGCTTCCCTACGTCATAGTACAGCTGAGCATTCTTTGGTTCTAGCATGTCTATATCCCGCATGAGGTCTGAGATCGCTTCCACTGCCTAAATTGTAACCAAAAAAAAAACGAATTAATACTATATATAAACAAGTGCCGCGGAGCGACAGCGCTCATCTAACGTCTACTGCGGTGACTCTGTGGTGGAGTGGTGGGATTCTAGTAAACCCTGTTAGTCCCAAATGTGTTCACATACACGCCGAAACAGTGGAATGCACAGGGATGGTATCAGGAACCTTCTCAAAGGAATGTTCGTTGGGATCGTTATGAAAGTTGCCACGAGATGGCGCGTACGTTTAAGTGTCTTCAGATTAAAGATGGAAGCTCCCATCATACGTAGTAGCAACAACTATTTGCAAGACAGAATAGGTAAGCACTCATCCATTTACCTACGCAAGCCTGCAGGCTGCAATAGAGAGCTGCCACCTGTAACCAATTAACGCAGGCAAAAACTACACAGTACCATCAACACATGCACTGGCAGTAGCCACTGGCAGTGGCATAGGTTACATGTAACATACTGACAGTACAGAATGCCATAGAAATTATACGATTTAAGGAGCATAAACCTTCTTTAACCAAATTTAGCTTTTGAAATTTCACTGTGACATTGTAGCCTCATACATCCAGGCATGTATAGATTCTACTAGCAAACCCGGCAGTCAAATTCTTTCTAACAGACAGTCAACAAATCCATGTTTAACCCTCCTCTTGAGGGTCAAAAGGTTATCTGACACTTACTCTTCGCATGTCAGCAGAAAGTAGATTTCATGGTCCTTTCAATAATGCCATAAAAATGCTAGGTCACCGCTGAAACAAAAAAGTTTTTCAATCGCTCCGTCAGACCATGTCCTCAGAAAATGTCTAAAATCTACCCTGTGCCCATTGACCTTTGACCTGTGACCTCCAATTTCGGCACAGTGATGGCTTTTCCTACCATGATGCTATACACCAACTATCACGAGCCTAGGTCGAGCCGTTTATATTTGTGCCGCAATTCTGCATTTCCTCCCTATACCTTAAGTTAAGGAGTGAATGTTCCCCCTTCTTTTACACCTCTTGACCTTTGACCTTTGACCCCCAGCTTCGACATCCCAACTCGTTTTCGGATTACCACCCCATGTCGATGTCCGTGACCGTACGTCGAGCGGTTAAGATTTGTGCCCAACTGTTGACGGACGGACGGACGCTCGGACGGACGGACGGACGATCATGCGATTCTACAAGCTGCATCTGACTATGTCAGATGAGCTAAAAATCCATATGCTTTTATGAAAAATACAGTAGACAAATATTATATATATATATTATATATTATTATATATATATATATATACGCGATGTATGCATGATGTATGCATGTTTGTTTACATCTGGTAATAATGTCTATGCTGCTATGCATGTTTGCTACTGGTTCCTCTCATGCTGTCATGTGATAATAGTTCATTTTGCAATGAAATTCAAGAATAGAAGAAGAAATCCAAAAGGTATTTACATTCAGTAGCTGACCCTCACGTGCGATTTGAAAGACCAGCAGGAATTTTTTCGCTTCGATGCATCGTGGCTCTTTACCCAAAGCTCTATCAAGGTCAAGAACATACACATAAGTATAAAAGTACTAAACTGTTACGTTAAACAAACAGGAATGTAAAAGCATTATAGAGATATGTCAAACCCAAAAAAAGGCAGAACACTACAGAGTTTTCACATGTGCAAGAACAAGTGTCAACCAAGCAATGTACCTCCTGTGTAAATGATATCAACATTTAAGATTAATTTCAATAAATATAACAAATTATATCTTTACACATATTACTTAAATCTATTCCTAGATTCGATACTCGTAAAAAAATCATGTTGTGAGCAGTGTGCACCCATTAACGTTGAATCTATCAACGTCGAGTAGATACGTCATGCAAATTTTACCTCTACTACTGTAGAGCGTAGTTTGTATGTTATAATTTAAAATATAAATAATCAAGAAGACGTATAGAATTTGTGTTCACTAAAGAAATATATTGTTTACAAACAACCCGTCAGCGTCACGTCACGTCACGTATCATTCCCCTCCCCCAAATGCTCTCACGTCCCTTAATATATGAACCCCGCATCCAATCACGGCCCAGTTCCACTCTACCCTAACCAATCACACACCACTCTCTCTCTTGTTCAAATTATTACGCGGGAAATGTACATATGGGCAGCATCTGTATAAGTGTCAACCTAACGTCCGTAACCTATCTGCGTAGTACCCAACCTAACTATTTCTCATCTGTAAGCTAAACGCCCAATCCTTCTCTATGTACAACCAAAACTAACTACGATTACTAATTCAATGTGACATCTGTACAACATATGTAAAAGAGACATTACACTACACATAACTTACAGCTATTGCTAGATATGCTATTCATAAACAAGTCTTGCTGTGAGCAGTGTACATCCATCAACGTCAAGTATATACGTCGAGGCGACGAATCATAAGCGTGAAGGCAACGATCAAAATTCTGATCCTATATCACGCGTTACCTGTGCGCCGTTTCGATCGCGTCCTCCCACGTTTGCAGCGCCACCTGGATCTTCATCTTCTCGACGAGCGTCGGCACAAACTGCGGGAACGCGACGACGAGCTGATTGAGCGTCTCGAGGGCGCCACTGTAGTTGTGCTTGCTCGCGAGGTAGCTCGCCTTCCCGAAGAGACCGTCGAGATTCTTTGCGGGCGGAGACGCACTGAGGGAGTCCTCGAAGTGCTTGCCGGCTTTCTTGATGTCCTTACCGGACGCGAGCTCAATCCAGCCCTTCAGAGAGTTGCCCTGTACAGATGTCACGTGCATCGTTACACAAAATCATTAAACTAGGGACACCACTGTCGACTCAGTTGTCCTTGTAAGAGAGACAGTAGCCACATGTGGAATGCTGAAGCAGGTTGTGGAACATTCACCTTCTGTACAAAAAAGGCATCATGGGTTGACTAGCTTAAATGCTGGCAGGGACATTACACAGAGTTACTAAACTAGAGATGCCACTGTCCGCTCAGTTGACGTAAAAGTATATTTTGTCATCAGTTAAATAAAAGTTTTTTGGACGAGGCTTCGTTGAACAAGGTATTATAGTATAGTACACTATAATATAGTACACTATACTATCAAAATATTACATTATAGTACACTATACTAATTACTATCAAAAACCATTGTATAATAAAAACATAATGCAAAGCGTAAAATGAGTATCGCTATACTGTTACTGAAATATACTGAGTAAAAATAGCTGGCTATATATTAAAAAGAGCTCGGACGACAATAGAAATTACTGATTTGAGATAATGCAATGTAGATCCGACTTCACGTCATCAATACCTCAATCAATCAATACGTCATCAATACATATGAATACCTCTGGATTATATGGATCGATCTTCAACATCTTGTCGATGTATTCACGTGCCTTATCCACGCGGTCAACGTGGAAGAGAAACAGCGCAGCAAAGTAGAGTGCCTTCTCGCCAGCACCCCTCCTCTCCTGCTTCAACCTTGCATCCAGTTCCTCCAGTGCTTCACGGTCTGCTCAATGAAACAAGCAACTACGTGTGTCAACAGATTGCTTGCCAAAAAATCTATGGATGTTTGGAAGGATCAGTGGGAAAATAATACACCCAACAGTTGTTGACAGCCTGTATGTATTAATTGCTGGATCAGTGTCAAACACAGAATAACCTCACGAATTTCACAGTAAGAAAGGTGGATATATAAAAACCTACTAAATACCAACAGCTGTTTACAACCTGTGTATAGTCCAGGGCTAAGATCAAACAAAGCATAACCTCTTGAATTTCACGGTAGGAAAGGTGGATATAAAAGTCTACTACATACCAACAGCTGTTGATAGCCTGTGTGCATACTGCAGAGCCAGTATCGAACAGAGCATCACCTCACGGATTCCCTTGATCGATTCCAGCTCCCGCATTCCTTCCTGGATTCGATCTGGATTTTAACACGAACAAGTATTTAGAAAATTACTGTCATGTGTGTAAGGACTAAAAACTAATTGTAACTGCACATATAGTAACGGTATACATTTACAATTGTGATATTTATTATATTTACACCATATATAGATCTATCACCTCTGTACCAGCACTACCACTGCAGGGCCTCTCTAAGCTCAGAACGACCGCACACACAGCATGAGTTTACAATATAATTTACTCTTATATTGTTCACAAACCTTCCAATATAGAAACATAGGCATTGAAAAATCGCAGCACTGGATCATTTCCATACTTCTTGAGGCCCTCGTGTATAGCATTGTGGGCATGACGGATATACTTCTCCCGAAGATAGTAGCTTACTTTTCCCTGTTGGCACAAAATTTATTGTAATTAAACAAACGAAACGGACACTGTTGATAGCACTCAGAATATATTCTGCATGTTCCTGTAGTTGCCACCCACAATACCAAGAACCTAAATGTTGTTAGTCTAGATCGTGTCCTCAAGGCTACTGTACAGTAGTGATAAGCGGTGACTTGGCTTTTTTTCATAACAGAAACAGCTCGTTATTTTTGAATGGGACCACGCTGTGTAAAATATGATATGGCAGAGTAATCCTGATTTTTGGCACTATATATAGTTTGTCACCTAACTCAAATCATAAGTTAAACCGACCAGGCTCTCTGACTGTTACCGTATTCTCTTTACGGCAGTAGAGCCAAGTACTAGCCAATCGTAGTGTTTAAGCCGCGAGAATGGGTAACAATGTGGCTACCCACTAACAGCAGATACTACAGAGTACAGTCACAAATTGTACTAACTGTATAACATATAGTATCCAGAAAGTAAATCATAGGCATCTTATAAAGGTGGATTACCCTATTACTTAAACTGCTGATATATTATAACTATATATATATATAATATACAAAATAAATAAATATGATATAATTATATTATAAAAAGTCCATAATTGCATATGCCATATGGTAACAAAGTGAAAAACTCATGAAAATACACTACCTTAAGTACTTCTAGCATAATTAAGTTATAACTCAAAATGACCACACCCCTGTACCATACCCGAGACCACCCACACTTCCAACAAGAGTGCACACTGAAGTACGCTGGTCCAGACTCCACAGTGACCAATTGCCTAAGGTCATAACCTCATCTCATCATTTACTAACATCAGCTAGAAAATGACTAACATTACGCAGTGCCTGCACTACATCAGAGCCATTTTAAAATGTGAACTATATGGCTGAGATACTATATATGTCCGTTGCTAGTAATAAATATATACGAAAATTAACTTTCGCAATGCTGTGTTGATGTGACATTTGCGACCGAAAACAACGTCCTCAGCTCTCGACAGATGATCATTTCTTTAATAGAGTGCGCCCGCGGTAAAACAAAAGATGGCTGCGCCTACAAGATTTAACTGGCGGCGTATTTAACATTCGATTTTGCGTAAACGCTGTGGATATGTGCATGTATTTATACAAATAAACTATTCAATCTGTTGCGTCAGCGTCGACGTTTTTCAACTCAGAACCAGCGATCAAAAGCAAGCTGCATCAATGATCATAAAAAATTTCGAATTGTAACCATCGTCAGTTTAAGAAACCAGGACTCATCTTGTGCCTGGCTCGCCGGTCTGAGTCAGTCTTTGTGTTTTGTATAAATTGGCGATGGCGAGTCTCGTTCTGGTTGGGCATTTGTCAAATCTATTGTGAGACATCATATTAAATTATAGGTCCCCCGCACGTTGCGTAATGTTTGTTTAAAGCATCAGCAATCTTCAGGCTGCTATTCTAATCTTACAATGGCTGGCACGTCGATCCGTGCTTCATGTTCAACATCGGAACTGCTGTTGGGCAGTTGGGGCCGCAA